TTTAGTCTTCACTTCCAAGCCACTGCAATTACTGGAAAATCCTTGCTTCATATGTGAGCAAAGGCATCAAAGAGAAGAGTTTTGTAATTTGTGGCATCCACAGATAGGTACAAAGAAGTTGGAATTCCATTATTATGCTAAATGGCATTCTCTGTTAAAGGGTGCTGTGTAGTGCAGGTAGGGAAACAAAACAGGAAAATATTTTGTCTCATCCTGGCCTCCCTATATCAGACAACTGGTGTAAATTATTTGGTTACAGGGCTTGTATTTCAAAAGACCACAGACTAGTGGTGACACTAACAATAAAAGTAAGCAGTCAGTACTACAGAATCTCACAGTTTTGGTAATATGGCATGCATTTATTTATTTCAGATTTTGGCTTGAAATTTCTGACTTCAAGCCTGATTTTGTGATGGTGAGGGGAACAGAAGAACAATGTGCAAGGCTATGTAGGTACAAAAAAAAAGGAGATAAAAAGGTTGGTTTAACAGGGAAAAAGAGGAGAAGAAAGGGCCATCATATATTTGGAAACAAATAAAATGAACAGGTGAAATTATGGTGCAAAAGAACAAGTTTATGAATAAGAGTTCTATGGACTCTTAAGGCATATGTAAATTCATTTAACTTGAGCTGTCAGTGTCTGAAGTTGTCACCATAGATTCCCTCTAATGCCAACGGAGAGAAAGAGATACTTTTAAAACATGATTCAGCTGACCTATTTTAGCCATCTACTTCAGGATGAGATGAATCATACCCTAAAAGTGTCTATTTCTCTCTATTGATTATGAAAAGAGTCCAGGGTGACAACTTCAGATGTAGAAGTCTCAGGTATAGATTTTTGTACTTTGTTGGATGAATCCCACTATTAGAGCCTATAGATTCTGACATATCTTGACTTTTTTCCATAATTTTTTATTGAAAAAACATCTAGTATGGAAAAATAGAGGAGATACACATACATTTGTATTGGGTGCAATTTACCGTAGAATGGCTGGAAAATTGACATTATGTGTGTGAAATGTTGTCATTTTGATGAAAAAATCAACCCCCAAAATTCTTTCACTTGAGAAAGAAAATATTTCTCTGTGGAAATACTGACATGTGGCCTCGTGCCAATGACAGGTGAGTACCTCAGGCGTCCAACCTTCACTATAGGACACTGTTTCTGACAGGTCTACATATTCCAGGATTCATCCTGATTCCTTCCATTGGTGATCCTGGCTGCTTAGGATCCTTGTTCTAGTGACAGCTTGCAAGAGATGAACCCAGCTAAGCAGCCAGAGTCAGGCAAGAGAGCTTGGAAGCATTATTAGTATTAGTGAATTTACAAGTTCTGCAAGATGGGACAGTTTTAACTGAAGTATATAGAGTTTTGATACAATTATAGCATATTAATGTTTTAAACAAGCAAATGACATTTTTAAAAAATAAATAAATTAAGAATCAACAAGACTTTTCAACAACCAGACTGATTATGCACTCTTCAGAGAAATCTGAATTATGGTTGTACGCTTATTCCCAATTTTGTTACTGTATTTCAACAATCTTAATAATATATTCTAATAATATTCTAAGTTCCCTTTGATAGACTTATGATCATATTTTGTATTTCTGTATTTCCTTTCCCTTTCTTGTTCCCTTTCCCTTTTCTTATCCCTTTTCCTTCCCATTCTTTTCCTTGCTTCTTCTCAGCCTTTTGTTTTCTCCCTTTTTACCTTGTTGAGGAGCTGTGGATGGTGCTAATAAACTTACTACAAATTTTCCAATGTGTAGTTAGCAAAGATTACTTTCCAGTATGGAGAAGAGCACAGAAAACCACAAATAAATTGGATCTGTTCTACAGGTTATCAAATCAAACTTAAGTGCAAAGATATGCATAAGTTAAGTTCAGAAATATCTTTGAAGATAAATCTTATGCATAACATTTCTAGAGATAACATCATGTTCAACTTACAGAGGCTGCATTACTCATGTGCATAAAATAGTAACCTTCGTGAATGGTTTAAACAAGGTTTGCTCTTCAAGAAGCCAGAGATTATGACTCTTGATTCCAGCTGGGGGGAATTGAAAGGTAGAAAACTTAATTTCAGGGTTTCCTTTAAAAGAAAATCTCAATTTTAAAAATAAGAGCAAAGCCTGAACATCCTCTGAGGTTTTGAGTTTCCTTCAGAGAGCCCTGCTGATGTTCCATTATTTGTCAATAAAACTAAGGTGATGGAGAATAGGCTACTCTTAGTTTTATTTGGAATTTAAATTCAAATGCTTATAACAGTATATTATATGATGCAAATAAAAACTAGACTTTAATGATACACGTTACATGCAACCAAAAGCTCTAATGACACAGTCAAGAACTCAAAAAATTTGCCTTTTAAATATGCATAATGTTTTGCATTTGATTATGTATTCACGTATTATTTATTTTTACAGATGTCACCTTGCATTTTGCCAAACCTTGATGCCCTCTAAATTCCAATCTGACACAGCCTTCTCAGTTCAATGTCTTTCTCATGAGTGGTCCTTTAATTCAGCCCCATTTTCCCTCACTGTAGTGAAATCCTTTGTCAATTCAGCATGAGATTCACTGTTCACAGTAAAAGTCTCAGCTCAAAATTTTTAGTTGGGATTAGACACCCTTAAGCTGTCCTGATCTCTGTTTTACCCATGAAATGAAGATCCCCAGCTGGCTATTTCTTACACCTTTTCTGTGCTGGTTTTACTGGCTATGCCTGACTCTCTACCTCAGAGGGCAAGGACTTCCTATTTCCTAAATACCCACCCCAGTTCATTATTCAGTGGGAAGTGTGTGTGTGGTATGTTGAGGGAACGATTATTCTCCTATGCATGGACACACCCAGATACTGTGTTTGGTTTTGGAAACCCAAAGCAAGAAACACATAAATCAGTGTAATCCAGGGCCTAACAGCACATTTCTTACAGAGGATGAACATCTGTGCCTGCTGAGTTTTGTTCAGCCTGGAGAGGTGGCTACAGAGGGACCTCAGAGCCAACTTTACGCATTTATGACTAGGCTATTTAGATGGCAGAGATAATTCTAACACTAAGGTGCATGGCTAGAGAATGAGAAATAATGGACTTAGCTGGAATGGGAGGTGTTCTAACTGGATGTAAGAAAAAAGGTTTTGAGCTGAAGAAAATAAAGTACTAGAGTAGATTTCCCAGAGAGATCACTGAATTCACCATTAGAGGTTTTTGAGATCTGACAGGAAAAAGTCCTGAGCAACCTGACTTCTGAATTTGATGTTGAACTTGTTCTTAGCAGAAGGTTGAACCAGAGACCTCCTGAAGACCCTTTAAACCTACCCAAGTCTGTAATACTGTGAAACCTGTGTTGAAAATATTTTCCCAAAAGTTATTCACCTGTCCAAGTTAGAATGGGTTTGGATTTATATCAATCCTATGAATCCTTTTAAAACTTCAAGCCTTTGCTCTGAGGCACAGAATACTTGGAACTCTTCAAAGGAAAGACTGCCAGAATTTTTTCAATGTATACAAAACAAGATTATCTCCCTGGACTCTTTGTTGGATACTACTGAGTCTGGAATATCTGAAGAAAGAAAAATGAAGTCTGAGGCAAGGTGAATGTAAAAAAGAAATCTGAGTCTCAGACTCTTGCTGGCCTACCAATAGCACTACCAAAGCTGCTGCTAATCCATCATGACTACAGTGAAAGCTCAGCTCCCCATACCACCAGCTAAACATCACATGCTAAAACCAGGCAATTTGCCAGATGCTAGTTCTTTCTTAGTGGGAATACCTCAGCTTGGCAAATAAAGAGGTAAATTAGAATATAGTATATTATATCATCTGTTCTTAATGCACGATATTGTTTTTAAATCGAGTTGTACGGAATTAATAATTCAATGTATTGGCCAGTTGTAAAAATTATGCCTGGTATCAGCTGTAATTTTAGAACAGTATTTCTCCCATCCCTCCATGCCCCTCATCCCCCATCCACCCCCCAAATTATTTATTGCTGACCTGTCTTGAAGGTTTTCATCTGAGATTCCTCTAGTATTTCCAAATATGTGTCACTTAGCTAGGAGACAATTGCTGACATCTAGCAAAGTTAATTGAAAATGAAAACAATACTACATCTACAAGCAAAGTTAATTGAAAATGAAAACAATACTACATCTACAAGTACAAGACAGTCACCAACACAAAAAAGAAAATTAAGCACATTTTTTCATATTTTTTGATGAATAAAATAGAGCAACATCTACTGCTCTTCAGCTTGGAAGCTAGGGGTTTCTTGTAGAAAAATGTCTAATAAAAAAATTGGGCTGCAGAGAAAATTAAACTATAACATGACAGGAAGTATCTCAAAAGTGGAATACACAGAGAAAACCTGAAATATAATAGCTTAGAAGAGTATTTTTATGAATGAAATCCATTGGTATAGATACTTGTCTGCTTGTGTTTGAATGGTTATCAAAGGCAGAGTGTTGATTAAACTCATAAATGATAAGTGGACTTTATATGTGGAAGACCCTTTGAGAATTAAGAAACTATGTGCACTCTAAGCCTGACAGATGATGTCAACATTTTAATTCTATATTTTCTAAAGAAGCCAAGAAAAAGACAACCAGTCTGTAAGGTGCTCAGAATAGGCAGACTTAGCGCAGAAGAACTCAGATAGATCTACAGATTTATGTGCACAAATTTTCAGGTCTGGATTAGGAAATAGACTTTCTTATATTAGAAGGGGCAAGCTGAAATGGCTGTAAAGTCCTGAAAAAAAAAACTAACTTCAGAATATCTGCAGAATTTTTGCAAACTTCAGGATGCCACATTGACTCTGCTGTAAGTAGTAACTTGAAAGGCACAAAGATTTAACCAGAAAACTATGTTTCTTGTCATTTTGGTCCATTTATATTAGGTATGTGATGTCCTTTCATAGATTTTTTTATGGTTTGAAATATAACTCAGTAGGATTCTCCTTATCCACACCAATATCTCGTACATTTCTGACTCACCTCACTTGAGCTTGAAGGGTTGTTTTAGGGTAGCAGTTTCCTCGCTGGTTATTTCCAGGTGGATATTGACATTAGTTCTCGCAGTCCAGGAGTTTGGGGGCAGACATTAAGTGACGGCAGGCTTTGCCCTGCTCGAATTCTCTTCATGTAACCATCCACACCACTGCAGCCAGACCACCGTTTCCTGAGGCCTGGATAAAAATATTTCCTCTACCACAGCCACCCTAGGGGAATAAAAAAAACCCAGCAAAACAAAACTGAACTTTCCATACAGGCTTTTTATTTTAAACAGCCAATGTTAAATTTCTGCCAAACTTCGAAGGTGTTTTTGATTATGCAGCTTTCAACTACCATGGAATTAATATAGAAAAACTTGTGTTCTTCAGGGAGCCCTGTCATACATCTGCAAAATAAGGTTCTTTTTATGTACCTACATATTAACATTGACATCCACTCCCTCATTTAATTAACAACATTTGAATGTCGTTTCTTTTCATGTAGTAATTGTATTTTTTATTCCTAAAATGATCTCTTGTTTTGTAGAGAGATACAATTGGAAAATGTCAAGATTTGTACAGAAAAAAACTTCAGTAACAATAAGGAGTTCCTTTATACCTCGTGTTTTTGAAATCTAAATCTGGCCTTTCCTAGCAAGTTTTGAAAAAAAAAAAAAAAAATTCAATGTGGGAAATGAGCCTCTAGGTTTTGACTTGAGGGGAGAACTCTCTAAATTATTTGTTTCTTTCTTTCAGTGAGTTCAAAGCTAACATGCTGGGTCTGGGAACTCTCATCTCTTTAGGACCCTGGTAGCAATTATAAATAGTTGTGGCTGTTAATATAGGTACACACACTGGAGAATCTAGAGCATGTATTACATGTCCACCAAAGAGCTCAATTCCAAAGAAGGAGAAGCTAAAACTGCATTAGTAATGCTTCACTTTAACAGCCAGATAAAAGATATATGGTGGAGGAACGCAATCCAGTGTTCACTACCTACTTGAATTTCTTTAATAATGCCAATGACCTCATGAATATTGAAATGAGTCCTGGGTTATGTGTCCTTATGTAAGCTATTCCTCTTGTATCCGGTAAATGGTGTCCATGCAGTTATTAGAAAGAAGAAAAGAGAGGAAAGTGAGGTTAGATCACAGGGGAAAGGTCAACCTCTTGGGAGGGGTCTCAGTACTCTTTGTTCAGTACTTCATCTAAAGAATGAGGAGATATTGTGTAAACAGTTTGGGTTTTTTAAATCAGAATTTAAATGTGTGAAAGGCAATCCTTTTGTTTATGAAACATATGTGTGCACAGTAAGATAATATTGTAGTGATTTTTGTGCTGTTTTATTTACTGAAAAATTTCTTCAAAATAAATACATTAACAGAGCTGTGATAACTGTTGTCTTACTACAATAAGCCTAGTCCTTTATAGTAATTTTTCTGGTGATTAAAATATTTATATAATTATCATAGTAAGTGAACTGATGCACTTTGCTGCTGGAAGTAAAATAAATTTTTACATAGATTTGTGATAAGATACTTGGACATTTCTGAAAAAAAAAAACCCCAGTAAAAAGAAATAATTTTTTCTGAACATTTTTTATTTTATTGGTGAAATTATTTAATTAACAAATTTATTTTTGTGTGAGATTTCCTAGAAGTGGAATTTCTAAGAGTCATAAGATAACTTTGAAGATTACTCTTTCAAGGAAATTTGGAAAAGTAACAGGAATGAAAGTCTTGTAACAGACATTTTTAACTAGTTTTATGCATCCAAATGAAGAAATGCAAGTTCTGAATGGTTGTGTGAGCAATATCAAAATGCATGTTATTCTGGAGGTTAATTTCCATTTCAAATTCTGGCACTTCTCCTAGCATATATTACCTTTCTCTCTCTCACCAGTCTCCAAATTCATTTGCCTTGAAAAGAAGATATTTTGTAGTGTTTCCTGAAGAAAAGCAGTTTAGATCAATTAGGTCAGAAGCAGCTTCTGTATTTCTGAAACAAAACCTAGGGAAAAAAAAATTAAAAGCATCTTACAGGTACTAGTTTATCCCTGTAATACCTCCATTAATATTAAATAAATCCTGCAAATACAGTGTCTTGGTTATGGAAAATATATTAATTGGGTGTAGGTCAGGAATAAAATCCAGGAACTCACTTTTAATATTTCTTAAATCAAAAGCTTCTTGTTCTGAACAGCTAACCCATTTAGATTTTCCTTCCGCCTCTCCCAAAAGAGAGCTCCTTCAGCTGACTGCTGCACTCCAGTGCTGTCTGCATAGGTTACAAGCACTGAAATGCATTACAGCCATCCTCATCTATACCTGTCCTGGTGTCAATGTTACTTCCACCAATGTCTGAAAAAATACACAATTTTTCGTAATGCTCAGAGCCAAATTTACTATCAAGCATCTCTGTAATCTGCAATGATATGCTGAGGGGTTTTTTTTTGCATCTGACCCAAAGCAGCCTTCAAAAGCAAAAGAAAATCCTAACATGTGGGGTCTTTTTCTGATCCAATACGTTTCCATCTAGATCACAAACATCTAACTGAAAATAATTATATAAATGCAAACAAAATCAGTTAATTTAATTGAAGATTTTTATTATACATAATTCCTAGGTCCTTCTGTTAGGGGTATATGTTTCAGACATAGCTGGGCAAAAACAATCTATTTACTGATAAAGTAGGGAGCATGCAAAATTAGAAATCTCCTAAAGGCCCTAAACTTCAAATACATTTTCTTAAACGTACTCCTGTGAAAAGACTCACTAAAATCAATGAAACTACTCATGTGCATAAATTTCAGATTATGCAAAAGTCCTTGAAGACAGGAGATTTAGCTCTTAATTATTTTAGGTCACTGAAGGAAATGGAGGCCACAGTGTCTCCCAGAACAGGTGACAAATCTGCTTAGAAAGGTAATATGGAAGTGGCATAAGGAAAAGGTGTATAAAGCAGTCTTGTCCAGGAATACATAAGCACACTGATGCTGCCATAGACTATTCAGCTGAGAAATGGCTGATCTAGCTAATTATATCAAAAGATCTTTAGAGGAGACATCCCATACAGATTTTAGAAGACACAGATTTGGGACTCAAGGTAGCTGCTGGATGCATAATTCACTCCAAATAATTTGTTAGACAAACCTCATTTCCTTTTTCTATTTGTGAATTGTATTAGAGCAGTTTATAACTTAGATTTATTATTCAGAATTATTCCCTGAATGAATGTGTAACATTTATGAGAACTTCATTGAAAGTGCTTGATATTCAAGATTTGGCATTCAGCATTGTTATGTTGGTTAGTTTGAGCAGAACACATCACATGTTGTGTTTCTCTGAGTGCGAATAACTTATAGTCAGATTTTCTATTCTAAATCATCATATTTCAGAATACAAAAATCACTTTCTGTTCCCATTTTGCAGAAATCAAAAGACGTCTCACAAACATTCTGGCTAAAGGCACATTTGTTCAAAATTAAAACATTATTTTTATGGAATTATTTTGTCCTATTATGTCCCTATTTATGTCCTATAATGTCTCTACTTCTCAGCTACAACAAGAAGGTTTATCATTTAAAAAACTAAACTAATGGGGATAATTTTGTCCAGCTGCATAATCCCCCAGCTGGGATATTGTCCCATGCCATATTCATCAGTCCTAATATGTTAAGAATGAGACTTCCAATAATGACACCAATAAAAACTTAAGTCTTTAGCTGTCTAAAGTCAGTAAAAGGAAATTTTTGAGAATGAAGAGATCTTGAGAGCATTTTCTTGTATGCTCATAATATGAGGGAAATTTCTATCTTGGTCCCGTTTCTGGAGAACTACTTCCCACATCACGGAACAAAACTTTTTTGGGGTCCTCCTGTTGCTGGAAAATGCTGTGATAAATAGAAGGTAGTAAAACACTGGTGGGGAGGGGGGGAGAAAGAAAACATCTTGAAATAGTTCCTAACTCCTATTTTTCTTCAGGAGGAAGAAAACAGAGAAAGAATCATAAGAGAGATATATAGAGATACTACAGTGCTCTTAACACAAGCAATATTTAGTAATTTCTTAGGCCTGGCTTGTAGTCATTCTAACCATCTGCTCAGAACTGAACTTTTTCTTCTTCTTCATTGTAGTTGAACTATATCAACAGAAACAATTTTTTTCAGGGAGAGTAAATGTACCGCTACGAACAGTTTGATGAAAGACTGAATCTTTGTATTCCTGGAAAGTAAGTCTTCCTGTAACAAGCAGCTTATGTTTGAACACGTCAAAGCAAGCCTTTTAGAACAGGAGATAAGAGCACTTGAATGATTTTTGCAAAGTGGTAACTGGCTAACTGGCCTAAAAGCAAATGTTGTGTATGGTAATTTATTCTGTGAGTTACACTTTCCTCAGACTTGAAAAGATCTTTACCATGACTCAGTACATTGGATTTGACTCCCACTCTCATCTGAAAGAATCAGGTCTGAAATACAGACCACTGTACAAGCAAATATTTTATTCCTACAGGCAATGATATTGGCATGGGCAGTGATAAAACAATGGTCAGATTCTTATTAAGAATGGGTCATAACACAATGTCAGTCTGAGGTGGGGTGTTTATTCATGGTTTCAATTTTAACTATGCTGTTAAATGCTATGCTGCAGAAGCTTTAATGTTTAAGTAACTATATTGATCTAAACGTACTGTTATTGATAAAAATTCTTTGCTTTCAGAATTGGGGAATAACACACTGCCAGAAAGCCTTTATTGCTGGCATAAGTTACAGCTGTGCTAGAGGGGATAGTTACGCTAACCTAGTGTCACTATCTCAGCATGTGGCCTGTTCAAAGTCATTGTTTACATGGACTTTCTACCATATGGAGTTATCAATATTTTCTTACAGAAATCTCAGAGCTGCTTTGTACTTCCATAGTGAGAATATAGCAAGACAGACTTTGTTTTCTCTTTTTCTCCTTTGAAAAAGTAAAAAAAAAAAAAAAGAGAAAAAGACAGGAAAAAAAAAAGATTAAAAAAAAAGAAAAACAAAAAGATTTCTCTCCATAGTTACCCTCCTCCACTAGAAATGTACGTCATTATAAATATTAATATGTTTAAGTATAGACATTTATTAATACATTGTTAATTCTCATATTTTGGGTATCCTACTCCTCACTCTAAAATGCCTTAGGCTGACTCTGCTGGCAATGTCTTTTCACCCTGAGAAGAGGAATAACTCATTCTCTGAGGGTGCCCTATGGTTGTCACCCGGGCTGGGCCCAGCTCTGCACACAGTGAACGCCTGGGCGGAAAACGCTTCTTTAGCACACGCGAGATCCCGTGAGCCCAAACACACGGGGCATTCTTAGGTGGTATTAATATGTAAGAAGGTGGTTAGGACCCTGCCAGGCATGTTTGGGCACTCTGCCCAAGGCCCTGGTGTGGGCTGCGTGCAGGCACAATGCGCTCTTGTCTGCTCCTGGGAACGCGCTCTCAGTTAGACATACCTCTGGAAACCTGAGTAAGGCAAACTGTTCCGGTTCATGTTAGGAGGGGAAAGGAAATGAATAAAGGGTATAAATCTTCGTTAGCCCAGCAAGAGCAAAGAGCATTCTTTCATGCACAATACAGAGTAAAGGAAGTAAAAGGTAAGTAAGAGTAAAAGGACATTTTGAGCCCTTCTCTGCTGAAAAAACACCATGAAAATCCCTTGAAAAACTAGGATGTGTGTAGATCAAAAAAGGTACTTCAGAAGCCTCTCTGAGAGTGTGCACAAACTTCCTAATAAAACAATGTATTCTGAGAAAAAAATCACTATACTGAGCCTGAATTTGCCCTCAAAACTGACAAATATTTTTGTGTTATAGATCTAATTTGAAGTGTATTTCCTTTCTGGCCTATTCTGAGCCTCTGAAGTCTTACACATTTACTGCTGAAGGAAATGAAGCCTTGAAAACTTGAGCTGCATCTCCTCAAAAATGGGTTTCAAAAGAGTAATACTGTAGCAGTTCCAACACAAAACTCTCTCCCAAGGCTTTTATGCCAGCAAGCCTAGGAGTATCTAGTCCTGCAAAATCAGAGGGTTGGAATTCAAAAGTGGCTGCATTCCCTCCCGCCTGCCTCCCAGATGGGTTTGGAATGCATGCATATCCCAGTTCTGGAACATCACCTGTCCAGGTTTCTGAAACAAGGTTTTGAAATTCCAGTTCATAGGGCTGAATATTTGATTTTATAATCGAAGTGGAAGGAGATATCACATCAAAATACACAAGTCCATGCAAATAAGAGAATTTGTTTTTGCATAATTATATTCTACTCTCCTTGCTGTTTTTATACATCATTGATTAGCTACGTACAATGAAATATTCCTTCTCCAAGGAAATAACATGTATATATATATATATGAAATTCTTCAATCCCTATATACATAGTGGCAATAGTTGAGATTTTATGGGGATAAACATCAGATGGGGCTTTGGTATTGCTGATGAAAGAATTCAGCTACTGGAACAAGTCCATCCTACAGATGATATAGCAAAATTACTCCAATGGCTGAGGGCACATTGGTGGCACTAGGATGGAGATTCAGATCAGGAAAAGCCACATACAAATAAGTATGAAGATGGGAAGCATATGTGGCTGTATGGAAACTTAAAGCAGATGGTGGAACAACTTAAGAGCAGAAAGATCAAAGTTACAGATAAAACTAGTTAGATCAGAAAACTCCAGAGAAAGGAGTAGGAGTAATAATGGACAATATATTGAACAAGCAATAAAGGCAATGCTGCCACAGAAAAGACAAACGCTGCACTAGGTTGTGTTAATTGGAGCATCATGTCTGATACAAGGAAGACAATTTTTCCACTCTGTTTGGTTCAGCTGAGCTTCATCCAGAGAGACACATTTAGTTTGGGCTACCACATTTTTCAAAAGATACAGACAAATTAAAAGGACTTAAGAGAAGGACATTGAAAATGATAAAAAAAATTAAAAACAAGGCCCAAAAGGAAGCTTAAGAGGTTGTGAT